AGAGAGAAAGAGAGAGAGAGAGAGAGAGGGAGAGAGAGAGGGAGAGAGAGAGAGAGAAAGAGAGAGACAGAGAGAGCAGGAGAGAAAGAGAGAGAGAGAGAGAGAGAGAGAGAGAGAGAGAGAGATGAAGTCTGTGGGCTAGCTCTTCAAAGACATATTATGTGGCGGTCAAAATTTTGTCAACTGGACTGGTGACAAGAGATTTATTGCTGATGATGATTTTCATTCAGTTTTAAGTAAATCCAAACAAACATGTATCAACATTCAAAAAGCACCTTACCGATTTGAAGGCGCTCAATTTGACAAGTGGGATTCACTGCTGTTTTGTCGCGTTACACTGCTTCATTCCTTCACGTTTGTTTATCACGCCGGCTCGCAACTGTTAAATCGTCTCCCGTCACGTCGCGGAACTTCGTACGAGAACAAAGCGAACACGGCGGTTCCAGCGATGACGTCAGTCCGCTGGACAAATCCATCGACTGCCCTAAGAACAAATAAAGCATCCCTTAATTGTCAAATTGGCCTCTGTGTCGCTTACAAATTTAAGAATGAGACTGTTTTGAGCAGCACAGATACATGTATTATTTTATCAGCAATACATGTATTTATCATTCAGCCTTTCTCTAACTATTATCAGAACATTTATTGTCAGCATGGCACTAATCTTTTTTGTTTATTGAATTTTTAGCCACCTATAGTTCCGGTTTGGTATTTATTCATCGCTTTCTCCCCACTAATAACTACCTGGCCAATATGAGTCTAGCCGGCGAAAAGAGGAATCGTCTAGTTAAGATATATAAGGAGAAATATAACGAGGAGCGATAGGCACTCGGCTGAACGAGTCTGGGCTGCAAACAGTTAGGCCTACCCCCTCCCTTCCCTCCCCCTTTCCACCGTCACCCCAGCAAGACATCACGTTCTATAATTAGCATTTGACACACTTCCCCACTTTGTTACAACAGTGTTCTGAGAACTGAGAAGTGCAATGAAGAACGTTTTATTATATAACGATTGGAAACTGTTGTGTGCTAACTTTGTTCAGCTTTGTATAGTGTCTGATTGTAGACTTGATCTGCATGGGACAGCGTCACTGGTACAGTATCAATTGACTTTTTGTCATCATACACTTTCAGTTTGTTTTCTATAATAGTTGTGTTGCTTTTTCTGTGCCGATCTAGTCAAGTTTCTATTAATCTCAGTAACTTCCATCATACATTATTCATAATATTGTTTCTTGACACTGCCATATTTTAGCTCTTTCACATTATATTTTATAATGTTTACAGTGGTGTGTGTGAGTTGGGGAGGGGGTGGGAATGGCGAAAGTAGGGGTATAAAATGAGGAGAGAGAGAGAGAGAGAGAGAGAGAGATAGAGAGCGAGA